CAAAGCCAGCCTCAGCAACAGCGAGGTGCTAAGCAACTCAGTGAGGCCCAGTCCCTAATAAAATACAAAATAGGGCTGGGGATGTGGCGCAGTGGTTGAGTGCCCCTGAGTTTAAAAAAAAAAAAAATCCACCTTTCCTTATGAATTGGTATGCTAAAAATCGCCTAGGCCAGTGACAAATTATGTATAGAAATGAAATGTTCAGCTTACAAATTGCAGACAAGTAACAACCTAGAAATCACAGAATTTTGTCCTATAAGTCAGTCATTTAGTTGAAGAGAAACCTTATTTCTTTTCCAGAGGAGAGAGAGAGGGAAAGGGAAAGGTTTAGTTCATTAAAAATTTATACAAGTTAGAAGGCTTACAAAATGAAGTAATGGCATTTTTTGTTTAATAAGCAGCCAAAGTGTGTTTCACAGCTTTGGACCCCTGATACGATTTCAATTATAGCAAATCTGTGCTCAGTACAATCCACTTCTGGATTTCATAAAAAGTCTGCAGCTATACCTTTGGGCCCTTAAAAAAACAAAACAAAACAAAAAAACCATTAGGCCTGGTGTGTTCCTCCCTGTCTGCCCGATTAGGCGGTGGAGGCACCCAGACACCAGCAGTCAGCATACACTCTCAGGAGGCTCCTGGCCCCTTATGCTCCAAGAACTTAAAAGATTGAAAAGTATTTTATTTTTTTATATTTTTAGTTGTAAATGGACACAATGCCTTTAATTTGTTTATTTTTATGTGATGGTGAGGATCAAACCCAGTGTCTCACACAGGGCTAGACAAGTGCTCTACCACAGAGCTACAATCCCAGCCCTGAAAAGTATTTTAATAGACATTTTTGTAAGTCACAGGTTTGTACTGAGAGACCAAGTAATGAACCCATGAGTGAGAAAGAATAGTTTCACTTTTGCTAACAGCATCTAAATAACTACTTGGCTGTATATTTGGAGCAGTGAGGTGCCTAGAAAGTTAGAGCAAACGTAATGCCCAGGGCGGCTCTTCTTTTTGGCAGTACAGGGGATTAATGAGCCCAGGGGTGCTTTACTACTGAGCCACAGCCCTAGCTCATTTTTATTTTTGATTTTGAGGCAGGGTCTCCCTAAGTTGCCCAGGCTGGCCTCAAATTTGGATCCTCCTCCCTCAGCCTCCCGAATCTGTGGGATTATGCACAGGGAACTTTTAAGACCCCATTTCAGATAGGAGTTCCATGTTCTTTCCCTCTCTATTCGTTTCTAAAATCAGAGCTCGAGCCAGTTACTAAAAATGATCCTATTTTTTTCCTCTTTACTCTGCTGAAAGTGATGGAGTGAAATGGGATGTTCAGGTAACTGGCCCCCCTATATGGAACTGTTGGTATTTGAAAAATATATTTTATTTAGTATTCCCAAATGATTGTTTTAACAAAACAAGCATACAATGGAAACAGTAATCTGTCCTCCAATGGAGGCCTGAAAACTCAGATGGTATCAAGATCCATATTTTTTTTTCCCCGTACTTACATACCTATGACAAAGTTTATCAATTAGGCACAGTAAGAGATTAAGAATAATAATAAAACAATTATAACAATACACAGTAATAAGATGGCCACCTCACTACACTTATACTCTGGGTTTTTTTGTTTTGTTTTACTTTTTTTTTTTAGTATGAGGCCAGGTGTCACGATATTGTCCAGGCTGGCCCTAAACTCCTATGCCAGGTGATCCTCTTGCCTCAGCTCTCTGGTAACTGGGACTATAGTTACTACTTCCTACCCTATCTGACTTCAGCTTTGTTATTAAGCAAAATAAGGTTTATTGAAACATAAGCACAGCAATACCATAGCAGTTCATCTGATAACCAAGATCCAGATAGTCACTAAGTGACGCACAGATGGATAGTATATGCAGGTGGGTCTACTGGACAAGGGGATGATTCAGGTCTCTAGCTGGATGGAGACACTATAAGATCTCATGACAGCATTTAGAACAGTACACAATTTAAACTTATGAATTCTTTCTGGAAATTTTCATTTAATATTTTCAGACCATGGTTGACCAAAGAGAACTGAAACCAAAGGTAAGGGAGGGCTATTATACTATCAGTCGGAAGAGATCTTTAGTAAACAGCAAAGTACCTCTATTCCAAGGGGTATCCTAAAATCCTCAAGATAGAAGCTGGGGATGTGGCTCAGTGGTAGCGCACTGGCCTATCCTGCGTGAGGCGCTGGGTTCAACCCTCAGCACCAAATAAAAATGAACAGATAAATAAATAAAATAAAGGTATGGTATCCATTAACAGCTTAAAAACATACTTTAAAAAAATCCTCAAGATAGAATTTATTTGAAGGGAACACTCACTGTGGCACTTTCTGGGAAGAGGGGAAGAAGCTATTGAAATGTACAGTATCCAGTCGGGCTCCCCCACAGAGCCAAGGAATGAGTGGTACCGGAGCAGATGAGTGCAGCTGTGTTAACTGTGAGACAAGATCTGGTGGGGAAGGAAGCAAAAATTGCTGCAGAGGGAAGCGAAGTTTCACTGAACTTTAGCTAGCAATTTCTCCAACCAGTTTTCTCTATTTGATAAAACACAGTATTCCAACCTCCCCC